ATATCCCCGGAAAACTTTGGCGCCTCATTCCAGGGGAAATCCACCCCCGGGCTGACCCAAAGGAGTGGCAAAGTCAAGCTTTTGCCGAGAATGCTTGGCCTTACCCGACTACGGTCATGTTTATCATTTACCACTTGTTCGTAAGTACTTACTCTCCGAAAGCCTGGCCGACAGGACTTTATCGGCCCGAGTCGAGAGATCACCGGCCAAGTCAAGTCCGAGTGAGCTCTCTCGATACCTTCACCGACAATAATAGTAGTAAGACCGGATGACAATTCACAAGATGTGATGAACTTGTGATATGTTCACCAACACGGTTCCCGAAACAGTTCTCATGACACCAGAAAATGGTTTATATGAATAATCGAGGGCAGCCATGCTGCTGTGTCCCACAAAGCTGAACCGACGAGGGCTGCCGCCGCGGAGATAAGAAGAAGAGAGCTGGACGCAGAGGCCACCCAGTCCGTAGTCCTCCTGCCCAGGTTGCCTGCCCATTACAAAAACCGCGCATTGCTTATGTCGGCTATGCCGGCATCTCGGCTGCCCACGCTTCCAACCACTACGTCGTCGCATGGGGTCGATGGTGGAACCCCCGACCTCTAGGACGAGGGCCTCCCCCGCGAGACATTTCAACCCCCAGAGCCCGCGGTCATCTTCCCCCATTCCCTCCATACAACAGCTGGAACACTGCACCCCCAGGACCATGGACAACCTCAGGGTGAGCTTCCTGGATCGAATATGTCGAGTGACTTGGGGATGGTTCTCCATCTCCATGAGCACCGGCAGTATTGCGACTCTGCTGTACAACTGTCCGCACACGTTCGACGGCCTCCTAATAATTGGCAAGATTTTCTTCATTCTCGACATCGTCAGCTACTTGGGCATCTGGACCTGTTTGATCATCCGCTTCTCCCGCGTTCGTCACGCCTTGATCGACACGTTCAATGACCCCGAAGAATCCTACTTGATCGCCACGGCCGCCCTTGGTTTCGCAACCATCCTCTTCGGCATCGAGATCTACGGTATCCCAGCCTGCGGAGTGTGGCTTCGCTGGGTCCAGCTGGTCTGCTTCTGGATCTACACGGCCATTGCCATCTGTCTGGCCGTGGGGATGTACTGGCACCTTTACCGCACCCGCATGGCCGCTCGACAGCCGTTCTGGCTCGTCCGTCTCCTCCCATCCTTCCCAGCCATGCTCGGCGGCACCATCGCCTCTCTTCTTACATCCGCCCAGCCCTCACACTACGCTATCCCTATGCTAATCGCCGGGACTGCGTTGCAAGGCTTTGGGTTCATGATCTCCGTGTTCATCCTGGCCGAGTACATCCACGGACTACACCATCAGGGCTTGCCGCCCATGCGTCGTCGCCCGCAGATGTTCATCGCCGTTGGGCCACCGGCTTTCACGGCAGTGGCGCTGATGGGCATGGCGCAGACCGCCACCGAGAAGTTCCCGGTCCATTTGATTCCCATCGCCAACCGGGTAAACACCGCCGACGTCCTGCTGGTGATGGCCGTGTTTATCTCAATCTTCCTCTGGATCGTGGCCCTGTTCTTCTGGAGTATTGGATGGCTCAGTATCTTCGACGCCCGCCGCGAGTGGAAGTTTGACATCACCTGGTGGGCGACCGTGTTTCCCAACACCGGATTTGCGCTGGCCATCATCAAGATCGGCGACTTGCTCGACTCATCCGCTATCCAAGGTGTTGGAACGGCAGCAACCCTTATACAAGTGATTCTGTGGCTGGGCTGCGCCAGCATGCAAATCTGGGCCTACTTCACGCGGCGCACGCTGTGGCCGGGGATGGATGAGGGCTTCGGCCCGGATGAGCATCAGCAGGAGGCCGCCCTGGACTTGGAGGGTGAGGTCCGGTCGTACAAGGGTTCGTCATCGGCTTGACTGCGGACCGGTCTGCCGATCGTATATTGCACCGGCTTTCAATGACCCATGGTCAGAATGTATATACCTTGCTGGCATGGACGTGCAGTTGCGAAGCTGTCATGTGGCATTGGTTCGATCACTTGTACAGTATGTTTGTGTCTTCTCTCGCGCTGTCTTGCTTTCTTTTTCCTGTGTCGCCTTATTTGCTTATGTACAGTACATGGATTACATACTATCTTGTCCTTCCAGGCACATCTTGCAGACGAAGACTTATAGAAAAGGTAGTGAAAGAGCCAACTCAATTGCGGAGCTCGGGCAAATGCCGAGAATTGCCAGATGTTTGGCCGTAGTTGAACGCGTAGCTTTATGGTGGGCTATCCATGGCTTCAATATCCCCGAGAATGTCTTGTACATCGTCGTATTGTAATGTCTAGCAATTCTGGATGATGCGTTGGTATCTCGCTCCGTCGATGCGCGGAAAGCTCCCGGCCGCAGAATTATTGGCAATTTGCTCCCAGTCCTCGTCGTCTATGTCTGCGTATGGTTTCTTTCCTACCGCGATCTCGTAAATCAAACAGCCGAGGAAAAAGACATTGGCTCGGGCGAAGCGCGACATTCCAGGGAAGATACGGAAGTTGCCCTCTTCCTCCGCAACAGAGGGGAGATTCTCGGAACCCCAATCCACCAAAGTCGCAAAACTCGAGGATCAAGTTATCAGTGACCAAGAGGTTGCGTGGGCTGATGTTGGCATGGAGGACGCCATAAAAAATGGACATGAGCAATTACTGTGATGGCTGCTAGATCCACTGGTCCTTGGTTTGATCCGTGACGCAGCAGTCCTGACAGAACGCGCGGAGATTGCCGTGCTGCATGTAAGGCAGGCGAATACCGATGTCTGATATCTGCCGACATTGTAGGACATACCTGTGCGGACGAAGATTGCGGTAAATCAATCTCCCGCAGGCCATGCACAGCACAGAATACGATCCCACTTCATGTGCGTGGACAGCCCTGTCTGGGCTACCTTGATGGGTGTATTATCGCATTGGGCATTTCAAGACCACCTGGTAATTCTCGACATCCCGTCCTATCATGTCCGAAATTCCGTAGGCCAGGGTCGGTCGACGGACTTGAGGGGGGATTTTGACTATAGGTGGAGAATCTGCCACGATTCCAAAGGGGGAAAGGGGATATAAAAGCTGAGGTCTCACCATCCGCACGATGGGGTGTGTCTTGGTATAAAGATATGCTACAGTACGTGTTACATCTAATACGTTCATAACGCCGCGCCTCTCCCGCCTCTTCTCTCCCGCTTCTCCGTCGGTCTAACCCGACAGATTACAATACAGTACAAAGACGTGGAGCCGGTGGACGTGTTTATCCCCAGGCAGCCGGAGACATCTAAAGATGAACTCTGTGTGCTGTTGGAGTTGACTCCATTTTAAAGAAGCCTGATGCACCCAATTTGCTCTTGGAGAATTACTCTTGGGGATTGATCAAGATCTTCTTCCCACTGATCCTTCCCTCATGCAACAGATCCAATGCCCTTTGAGCAGAGCGGAGCCCTCCCGGGAGCCACAGCCCCGGGTTCGGCCAAATCGTTCCATCCTTCAAAACCCGGGGTAGAAACCGCTCCATGAACCATGCACGCGACTCCCGGTTCTCTGGGTTTGAGACCAAGTCCTCACTGTAACCTGACCATATCTTGGTCACATTGGTTGGAAGTCGATCATCCCCCGGGGATGGGCTGGTCGAAAAGAACTGACCGCCGGTATCCCGCAGTAAGTCCGCCATGAGCTGAGTGGTCGTCTGGGATCCAATGGCCTCGAAGATCCCCCCGTCGTATGGACCATGGGTTCGGATCTCATCGAGGAGGCTTTCTCGGGATTGGTGATGATCGATGATATGTGTAGCAGCCGCGCGTGCCTCCACCAACGGACGATTGGCCGGCGAGGCGGTGGTGACAACCTCATACCCGGCCGCCGCCGCATATTGCACGGCCAGGCCTCCAACCGCGGAGGATCCGCCGTACACAAGAACTCGTTTCCTCCTGGCGTCCTCGTTGGGGTTTGATGGACGGAGTAGCCCACCACTACTATTCAGGGGCGGTTTCGCAAGGCCCATATGGATACTGAGCGCCGAGACGACGGTCGCCAGGTTCGCGATCAACCCCGTGGCGGCCTCCAAAGTAGTGCTCTCTGGCTCGAGGCGAAGCGTGTTCTGCTCCAGAGCCAGGGCGTATCGCTGCAGGGCACCGAATCGGTGATCGGCCCCGGTCCGACCCCAACGCGCCACCACGACTCGATCGCCGCTCTGGACCGACTCCACGCCTCGTCCGGTGGAGATCACCGTTCCGGCAAAGGTGAATCCGACAACCAGCGGATATTTGGATTGAAACAGATCAGACCTGCAAGATGATTGGAATCCATAGGTCAGCAATAGTCCCGGGCGCGGATAATGATATGATACCTCTGCAGTTTTGCGTCGATGGGATTGAAGTTGACAGCCTCGACCCGGACCAGCAGCTCACCCTCGGCTGGAACCCACTGGTCAACAGCCTCGATTGCAACCAAATCCCCCGGCTTTCGGATCAAGCCAGCAACATTTGATACCATTATGGTCGGATTCTATCAGTGACCGCTTTTTCTTCCCATGCTCTTCCGTGCTCGATGCATGGTGCTGGGCTTTTGGACGAGGGTTCATCTTTATCTTTCTGAGTTGGACCCACGCATGAACCGGGTTTTTGTATTTGTAAGCCATATAGCGAGTCAGTCAATCATCCAAGCCAGTCAAGTGAATGTCACGGCGGGTTTGTCGGCAAATGGAGTGGGGCCGGCTCGGTTAATTGCAAGCGAGCCGCTGATCGATCTCACGCTATCATATGTACGTAGCGAACTCCAACGCGATGCATTTTATATTGCGGGAACCAAATATAGTATAAGGCAAGATATGGAATGGCCGAAAAGAGATCGATGGGATTGAGCCTCTGATGATTTTTAGCCGAACTACGAGTCGATCGAATCTTAGTCGTATTGAGTAGTCTAGCGCTTAGCAGTATTGTGCTTATTAGTCTGGAGTGACCCCTGCTTGTTGGATGTGATGTGATCATGAAGTAAGGATGTCTGCCACGAACAAAGAAAGCATCTCAGTAAGAAACAAGCCTCAGTCGAACGGGAAGTTGGCGAGGTTGGCTGAATTCCTCTCGCCTCCTCCCTTCGTATTTGCATTTAAACCGGTTGCCGCAAGCTTTTCGACTTCCACACAGCACTTCAGTACTTCTAGCAACAATCATACTCAGAGACCATACCTCCCTCTATGGCCACACTGTCTGGCTGAGTTGTACGTGATCTGCCTCTCCTCCCCTTTCCCAGCAGGCTGTGTCTGAATGTTAGGCTAATTGTATCTCCCTGGGCGCCTTGCCAGCCGCTGGGCGCAACCCATGGAAGGTGGTTCTCATCCTCGAGGAGCTTGGAGTCTCCTATAAGACCGCCGAGAGTTTCAAGTTCGACTATGTCAAGGACAAGCCTTACATTGACATCTGCCCGAACGGGCGGGTCCCCGCCATTGTCGACCCGAACACCAACCTGACCCTGTGGGAGTCCGGGGCAATCATGCCTGGAGGAGACTTATGAGTCGGAGAAAGAAATAACTCACGAGTCACTCAACGAGCGCTATCTGCTGAACCAGTCTCTGCACTTCCAGATGAGTGGTCAAGGGCCTTACTACGGCCAGTCAGGGTGGTAAGAATCAAATCAATCGATCGACCGATCCTTCTTACCTTTTTGCTCCCAAAACCGAGAAAGAAGCTGACGGACTGTTTGTCAGGTTCAACGTCCTCCACCCCGAAAGATTACCCTCCGTCATTGAGCGCTACAACGGACCGGTCCGCCGCGTGCTGAGCGTGCTGGAAACCTTCCTGGGAGGAGAGAAGACCTGGTTGGTCAGGGATAAGTGTACTTTTGCCGATCTTTCTTTCATGCCGTGGAACACAAGACTAGACTTTGTGCTCATGACCAAGCCCGGGGAGGACCCCCTGGCTCCCTATCCCAACGTGCAGGCGTGGCACAAGCGGATGGTGGAGCGTCCGGCTTGGAAGCGAGCGATGGCGGTCCGGGATAAGCTGATGAACGACCAGGGGCTGATGCCCAATGGAATGCCTAAGGGGATCAACAACATCAAAGAGTATGAGGAGTATAGGGAGAAGCTTGCGGCAAAGGCACAGGAGGCCAAACAGGCCGTGTGATCTTAGTGGAATGGGATGGGAAGATAGAGAATCAGCAACTGGATTGTTTCTGGGTGACTGGCATAGATACCACTATCTCTCTGGTTCTGACTTGCGCTCGTTCCCAGTCTAATATGGAATTCACTATCCACAAAAAGGGGATTCAGGTTGGGACAAGGTAGGGGGTTAGGGCAGCGAGTCATCGCGTGCTGACGGAGCGTCCACGAGAGGGCGATTGTGACCGGTACCATCAACCATAAACATGCTGCTATGAGTTTTTGGTAGGCTTGCTGGTTGAGAAAAATGGACTGGAAATTTAGACCGGCCGCTCTGTCGCTCCTCCACCAGAAAGACCAGATAAGGCTTGGATGCGATCGCGAAAGGCTGGGTTCTGGGCCAGTTTACCAACGGGTCGATCTTCGCGGTCCGCAAATCGAACATCCGGGAATCCCTCGAACGCGTGGAGATTGCCGTCCACCCACTCGCGGCCCGACTGGAGACACGCTTGCTTCATCTTGTCGGCGTTTCTATTGATCATCATCTCCATCCAGAATGTTCCCTCTCCGGGAGGAAGTAGGGCTGCTCGCGACGATCGCTGACGACAAGCGCCGAGTGGGGACAATCATGGTAATGGCCAATGGAAGCTGCATGTATTATGCGCGCGGCTGGACGTCAGGAAGAAAGTGCCGAACCCCACCTTTCACCTTTCAGCCTTCACCCCACCCAGCAATTCTGGGTACCGCCGCTCACCGCAGCCTCACCTCGGCTGGCAGCTTATCATCACCGGCCTAGTCGTTTCACAAACAAATCAGATTCCTGTCCTGTCTCTCGACCTGACAATGTGGACATTCTTCGTGACATATGCCGCGCTACTCAAGCCACAGACCACCACCATGATGGATGCTGAAAAGATAACTCAGCTTCACAGCCGGTTACCTAGTCTTATATCCAAGGCCAGGCACAGTCTCATCTGGGGGTGGACCTTGAACAACGAGGGCAGGGGACTGAAGCTGTCATTCAAAAGGTAGGGTAATAGCCCGAAAGACGCCAGATGAGTCTGAATCGTTGGCTAACATAGTACAGTTCTTGAGCGCTTACTCTATTCTCCCTGCACTGCAAATCTCTCGGGCATCTCAGTCACTCAGAAAATCTTTGGAATGGCAGCGATTCAATAGAGCAGAGACCATGAGCGAAGCCTTGGCAATTGTCAAGGAGTCAGGGATTGCTCACATTACGCGCCTGCAAGGCAAGCTTGTTCTCTGGGTCATCATAGATGAGCGCGTCATCAAAGGTTTCGCATCTTCGCACGAGGATTTCATGACTCGCAAAGGATTGATGCACCTGGGACTAGCAGTCATGGAAAGCCTAGCCAGGCTGGAGATTCAAGAGGCATGCACCGGCGAACCTATCAATGACCAGGCCGCTGCTTGTGTGGTCGAATTCAGGCTGGCTCCAACACCTGCCGCTCAGCCACAGCGCGTGTCAACTCGCGACATGATCATCCAGAAACTAAGTAATCTTGTTTCATCAATAGATCTACATTATCCCTCTCTTCTGGATATCTTCTACGTGATTAATCCCTCGGAAGAATATCTTCTTACCCTTGACGTGCCTGACAGGTTTCTGGCACAAACGACTCTTCTATCCCATCGCGTGGATCTGGTACACTATCTGGGGAATGCCGTTCCAGTAGAGTATGGTGGGGAGGGTGAATCACTCTTCGATGGAGACTACCTTGTTGGCACTGAACTAACCGAACAAAACCCGCAGTCACCAGGACAAATCACTGCAAGTGACACACAAGACGTCGATTCTCAGACTGATTCTGGTGTTGGCGCTGTACGAACGGCGCAGGTCAACGCCGTTATCACCGGCTCAGACCCACGAGAACCAAGACTGATATTCTCGGAGAAGATCGGACCACCTACAATCATCCTAGACCCAGAGGATCTCGAGTCAGCGACCGAGCTTTGTCCTGGAAAGATGGGCGCTCGTATAGTTTGGGCTGACGACGATATGCTGGTCAAATATGGCCACGGCGTTCGTCTAGCTGAGGCTGAAGCAATGCACCTGGTATCCAGTAGAACCTCGATACCCATTCCCAAATTATTGAGCGCTTACATACTTGACGGTGCCGGGCACATCGTTATGTCTCATGAGGAGGGAGAGCCTTTGGACAATTATTGGGACCGTGCTTCTGAGCCGCAACAGGAGAACGTTCTGCACCAGCTGCAAGACTACGTCACGCAAATGAGGAGCATCATCGGGCGGTTCATTGGCGGCATTGACTCTTCCCCTTGTAGAGATGGGATCTTCGAAGGTGGCTATGGAGATTATGAGTCCTATCGGTATGGACCGTATGCCTCCATGCCCGAGTTCAATGAGGGCGTGGTACAGGCGCTGAGGGATCGCCTCCCACCGGACTCGCGGGATGATGTGAATCGTCCGGACTCTGCGTTTTTTACTCGAGAATATATCATGTACCAGACTGTCAGAGGGTTGCGTGGACACTCCATCGTCTTCACGCACGGAGACCTACATCCCGGCAACTTGCTCGTTCGCACTGATGGAGTGGTTGTTGTGCTCGACTGGGGCCTAGCTGGTTACTGGCCGGAATACTGGGAGTTCTATCGGGCAATGTTCAATCCACCCTGGCGCCCTGTCTGGGATCGGATGATCGAAAAGTTCATCCCACCGTACTATGTTGAATGCGAAATTATGAAGAAGGTGTTCGGTATAGTGTGGAACTGACACAGCTGTATATAAACGCAAAGCACTCCCACAGCGCTAATAATTGTGTTAGGATTTACTTCATTTGTGCTCGTTAGTAGACTGGTGGACCTCTTGATTTAAAGGACCGCTGATTAGGCTCGATATGATGGAGTCTGCTACAACATTGTATGGCCTCATGTCTCGTACAATTGACAGAAGGGTCGGTCCCAACGAGCATCTTCTGAGGCCGGGAATTGTTTCCGAGGAGGACCCGCATACGACTGAGATACCGCTTCTTGTGCTCGGAGAAGCACCCCGAGATAAGATGATACCATGAAACCACATGACACATGGATCTCGGCTTTTTAGCTCATAGATATGCATCACAACAGGCTCGCTTGGGTGAGGCACACAGGTACCGTGTATATAATCAGATCGCGTCGACCCATTCTCTGCCCGCGGATTTGGCCGCGGGATAGCTTCGCAGCTGATCGGAGCAGAGATAAGCGTCTGGCGCGATGCTTATGTCTGGGGTCCGGGTAGTCTCCAGGACCCAGGGGAGCCCACTTCGACGTGAAGGTACGGCAATCCCATTGTTCATTCCCTGCCGCGGAGTCGATACAAAGCAACTAACATGAGAGACGAATGTACAGGAGAATGGCGCATTTGACGAGATCACAAAATGCAGAACTGGGAAGTACGGGAATGTCCATCGGGAACTCAAAGCTCGACATGTAACCTTCATTGCCTTGGGAGGAGACCTGGGGACGGGGCTGTTTCTGGTGATCGGGCGAGCATTGGGATAGTCGGGCCCACTCTCTCTCTTCCTCGGATATGCCATTGCCAGCTTCGCTGGGCTTATGATGATGATGGCTGTTGGTGAGATGGCCGCCTGGCTTCCTGTGCCTGGCGCTGTTCCTCATATCTGTTCCCGCTACGTCGATGATGCCCTGGGTTTCGCCGTGGGCTGGAACACCTGGTTCAACGCAGTCATCACTCTGCGCGGAGATCTCCGCTGCGTGCAGCATCATCCAATACTGGTCGCGTGCAAGCCATGCTAGTGTTGCGGTTTGGATTGTGATGCTCATTGTGTTATTGCTGGCCGTCAACATCCTCGCAGTCAAGGTCTACCGCGAATCTGAGTTTATGTGCGCCATTATCAAACTCTGGGGGGTTATCGTGCTGCTCATTACCGCTCTAGTCATTGATCTTAGAGGAGTACCATCTCAGAACCGACTGGGCTTTCATTACTGGAAGTCTGATGGCATGATGAAAGAGTATATCGCGTCCGGACCCACTGGTTGTTTTCTCGGACTCTTCTCAACGCTAGTCAACGCCTCCTTCTCTCTTGGTGGCGTTGAGACTGTTGTTGTAGCTGCCGTCGAGGCAGAGTATCCTCGTCAACGAGCCATTGAACTAGTCTTCTGGCACCTCTTGTTCTTCGTTCTGGCGTCGCTGGCCCTCGGAATGAAATGCCCTAGCAATACCCCAAGCTTCTAAGCTCCAGCTCCGCATCCAATGCAGAGTCGCCCTGGGTGATTGCTATCCAGCTAGCAGGCATCCGGGCTCTCCCGTCTATTGCCAATGCTGTCATCTTCATCGCGGACATTTCGGCGGGAAATCCCTATGTCTTCATGGGATCAAGGTATCTCTTTGCGTTAGCGTCGAATCGACAGGCGCCGGCTATCTTCTTGCGTTGTACCAAGCGGGGAATCCTTATCTACACTCTCCTCGTCACCATGTCCATCCCTTTATTGACTTAGATGCCAATGGGCTCGAGCCCCAGTGTTGCATTTCAGTGGTTCCAAACTTCAACGAAAGTTTCCATTTTGTGTGTGAATCTTTCGTCCGCACGCGGAGATGTTGCTGATCTGCTGTAGGTACACGTGGATCGCCGTTTGCATTGCATATCTCCACTTCCATGCAGCTCTCAAAGCACAGCATGTGGACCGCGCCTCTCTTCCGTTCTCATTTCTCTGGCAGCCGTACTCGACATACTTTATTCTGGAGTTCCTCACTATGGTGGCGTTTTTCAATGGCTTCGATGTCATTGCGTGATTCAACACAGCAGGATTCATCATATCCTACGTCGTGTTTCCGCTCTTCTTCGGCCTGTTTGTCTTGTGAAAGCTTGTAAAGAAGACCAAGTGGAAGAGGCCGAGGAGGCTGATCTGTTCACAGACAAAGCTGAGCTTGATGCAATTGAGTGGGCTCAGAAGGCTCCAATGACTGTCGTCGAGAAGCTGTGGCTTTGGGTCGCGTGAGAGACTGTTGAAAATAGTGCAGTGAGATGGATCCGAATACTGTATGTGGTTGCATGACCAAGGAAGAAATGAACATCACCCACTGGCAGGCTTTTGAGTTTTTCTGTTGCATAGTGGTGACGGTAGATTACCATGGACTAGTTATCTAAATTATAGTGGGCAAGAAAAGTCCACCTTGTAAGTGTATGCTCCCTTGAATAGACCCAGATTGATGATTTAGTTGTGCCACTGAAGACGCCGCTTGTATGCCCGAAAAAGCTCGACGAAATGACAGTGAGTTTAGGTCATGCACCAGCCATTTGCTACGTAGGTGTGACACGTTCTGGAGTCCACTGGTATTCGTTGTGAGGAGGTCACCAAATGTCACGACATATTTATGAAGCATATATACCGCTTAGACCAAGTTACGCTGGTTCAGAACATAGTGGAAAGCCTCGTCCAAGATCTTCAAACCCTCTTCAATTTCCTTCCCCGTCACCGTAACCGGAGGCGCCAGGCGGAAGACACCCCCCATCCCAGGCAAATTGACAAGGTTGCAGGACAGACCACACACCATCGCTCGGTCAGATACAGCTTGCCCAAGTTCCGGTCCTGGCGCCCGAGTCTCACAGTCTGCAATAATCTCGACGCCCTGCAGCAGACCGCGGCCCCGAATGTCCCCAATGCACCAGTATTTCTTCTGCAGCTTGTCCAGCCCCCTGCGGAGTTGAGCGCCTCGTTCCGCGGCGCGCTGGCAGATGTTGTCACGCTCGACAATCTCGAGGACCTTGTTCCCCACCGCGGCCGTCAAGGGGTCATTCAGATGGGTGGTTAGCCAGAGAAAGCCAGCCTCCTTGCAGCCACGCTCGATCTCTGCAGTGGTGCTGACGGAGGCAAGAGGCAGCCCACATCCCAAAGTCTTCGATAGCGCGAGAATGTCAGGCACAACACCATCGTGCTCGAAAGCAAACATCTGCCCGGTACGCCCGACCCCCGTCTGCGCTTCGTCCATGATCACGAGCATGCCACGCTTCTTGCATTCTGCTACCACACGCGGGAGGTACCCATGGGGCAAATCGAGAATGCCCCCAGTCGAGAGGATCGGCTCTATGATGAAGGCCGCCAACGACCCCACGCTCTGGCGGTCGAGCATGGACCATCCGTAGTCCATCTCGGTTTCCCAGTCGTACGAGCCATCGGGCTTCCGGAAGGGCGACCGGTACGCATACGGAGCCGGGAAGGCCAGCTGGCCCGGCATGCAAGGCCCACCGCGTCGACGACCGGCAGAGTAGGTGGCGGAGCCGGCACCCTGTGTCAGGCCATGGTAACTGGCGGCAAAGGCCACGATCTCGAATTTGCCGGTGTAGCACTTGGCCATCTTGATGGCCGCCTCAGTGGATTCGGAGCCCGTGTTCAGAAAGAAGGACTTCTCCAAGGGTGCCGGTAGAAATCGCGCAAGGCGTTCAGCCAAATCGACAACCGGGTGGGTGATCATGTTGCTGATGAGGTGGTCGAGTTCCGCGACGTATTTCTGGACAACTGCGACAATCTCTGGGTGCGAATGGCCGAGCAGGGAGCTCATTTGGCCTGAGGTGAAATCCAGAATTTGACGGTTGTTGGCATCGTAGAGCCGTGTTCCCTTGGCCTTGGTGATGACCACCGGTGAGTAGGGCACGCCTGTCGACATTAGATATTTGTCTGCCCGGCGGAAAAAGGCGGTCGTCGAATCAATGGAACCCATGTTGGATACTCTGTTGTGAGGCGGTATTCAATCGGAGACAGAGAGATGTAGTCTGAAATGAGAAGCAGATTTTGGAAAGTTAAGAGTGTCTTTAAAAGGCTCTTGTGAGGTGAGATGTGGTGGCGTTGATTGAGATAAGTTGCCCGCGGCCAGAAAGGGTGAAACGCGATGGCCGCGGGGAGAGGGGCAATCCTAAACAGCCAGGCACGTTGCAATCATGATTCTGCGTAGGACATGCTTTATGTCTCATCTCCCACGTTCAGCACAAGTTGAATGGGAGAATTGTTTCATTTCCGTCACTACTCAAAACCCATACCTATACTTTAGACATCGAATTCGCCCGGGAATCCAGTGATCCCAACAAAGAGCTCCTCCAGAGTAGCCGGGTCCATATCAATGTTACAAGGTAGATCGGCACAATCTGGCGCCAGGAGACTATCATCGGTTTGTTCACTGTGCATCCCCACTTTCTCAACCAACTCACTGCAGTGCGAAAGACAGTGATCCGCAAGATCCCATCCGTACCTCTCCCTGTGTACCCGTAGCGCATCAATGAGATCTCTTGCAATTTTCAATGGCATGTTGTGAGGCTGGTGTCTTATACGCAAGCCATTTCGAAGCAGTAGCATCGTGGCTGACGTGATGGAGAACGCGTGCACTGGAATCCAGAACCCACAGAGCTGATCCTCGGTCAGCCCTTGCACAAAGTACGCAATGTCTTCGGCGGCCCGTTGAGCAGGGATGTAGAATGGTGAGAAGTTGTTGTCGTCTGCGCCTGCCGGGCTCCTACTGAGATCAAGCTGTATGCGCCGAAGCAGAAGCTTGACTGCGAGGTAAGCCAGACGAAAATTAGCAGCACTCGGTAGGTCCTGATGCATTCCCCGAAGAACGAGATTGCGCATGTCTTCAGACAATGCCTCCTCCCACTCATTCAGCATGCGTTCCAAGTCTAGGGCGGATTGCTCAACCACTGGGAAACTACTCGACACGGCATATATATGTTCTAGATATCGGGCGAGTACATCCGTCAGCGTGGTCAGCGCAACGAAAACAGAAGCTGTCGATCTTTCAAATGGCGAGGCTTCGACAGCACAGAGGTCATCTGCCGTTGGAAAAGGCACATCGTACTGAGCTCGATGGACTTGCAATGGTGTTCCATAAGCTAGGCTGCACCAGCGATCATGAATCAGGACGAGCCACCATAGCCGAATCCGAAGACTCCTCTCGAGGGACGATATGCCCCAGCCCGAGGGGTCGCGGTGCAGTCCAAGGGCATTGGCGAGGGCAACTGCAGTGCCCATCATGCCACCGTTGCCAAACATTGAGGTGCTGGGTCGCCCACAGACGTTTATCAAGATCGACATTACCGTGGATATCCCCGGGGACAAGAATAGCTCTGAATGCAGGGCCTCGTTGGCTTGATTCCAAATGAAACGCATGTCGGGAGGATGGTTTGTTGATAAAATGAAGGATGCTTGCCAATAGACCAAGGAGTTGGCATATAGATTACACAGTAAAGCAGGGGAGAGTTTGTCCCTCTGAAAAGAATATGCACTTCTGAATGAAGCTTCGTCAAAGATTGGGAAGCATACATTTGCTCTTTGAAAGAACCTATAGGAATGGCATCAGTCAGCTGAAAGGAGCTGCCAAGACAAGGGCCAGTAGAGACCGACAGATCCAGGTATTCCTCCATGTTGGGCCCCATATACTTCTCAATCACTTCACATTTGGCTGCAGCCAGTTTCTGGCTTGCACAAACCCCCAACGGCCTCCTTGGGACCAAGTTAAATCGTACCGGTCTGAAGGAGCAACTAGATTCGGCGCCCGTCCGACTCAAGCATGCTTCCTGTGCAGTTGGCAGGGCCGACAGATAGTTCTCGAGAAATCGGTTATCCTCCGCTACGGCCGGGCTGACAATGTGAGGGTTATCATCCCCAGCTTCAGCAACCATTCCCACTATGCTTGGCAAGGCACCGGATTCTTGCTCATTCTGCGGGGTGTCATTATTGTCCAGACCTGCTATGTGCATGTGCCGTGGGCCAGCCTTCTCTCGTGCGCCAAGTTGGCTGTGCCTGCCACGGGCGACTCGACGTCTCACATTAACATTGGATTTCCGCGGCGAAGCCAGTCCTTGACAGTGGCGAATACTGTCCGGGCTCGGGAAAATGCATTCGGTGCCGTGAACCTGACACATGATGCAGATTGTCGAGGCATTTTGCGTCCTGCATCGGGACTTCCGCTTCTTGCATGAAAAACATGCCGGGTGCAGGTGTGACCGATAAGGTCGACCTTCTGCTCTGTGTCCTTGCGAATCACTCATGATGCGGGGTTCTCTTTGTCAGTTTAGTGTTGGACGTAGTAGAGATGCCTTAGACAGCTAAACCTCGGGGATTAGGATTCCCAATGGAATGCTGGTAGTTGGAAACGGTGGAAGTTGGCAGTGGCTTTGCCCGCGGAGAAAGCCGCGGGGAAGTCTATCACGTGAGTCTCTGCTACCCTCAGGCCTCTTCTCCTCTTCAATTTAGAGTCCCTCCTCTTATGTGCGTACTGTACCTCAAGAAGACTTTATGGGGCACTGAATAGCTCCACATCGATATGATTGCTAGAAGCATAGAGGATGAATTATCACGCTTTGAGCTCCAAACAGGCAGTACGTATGATGCCGTAAGAGGGTCCGCCACTCTTCTACGGTCGTCCAAGCCCATCCGTACCTATTCAGGACGCAGCTCTCTAAAGTTCCTTTTTACTCCTTCTGTCATTTCAAACAGCCCATCCGGGTCTGGATGAGTCTGACCACGGCGGGGACAGCGAATGGGGGGCTCATGTGGACAATGCAGGGCAAAAATAGCCGGGCGGGGAAAGCGAGATGACCAGCTCAGCAAACGGGCGAGCTTAGCATAAACAAAACTTCAAACTCAGCTTCAACGGGGCAGCACTAAGTCTCCCTGGTGAAAGCGGACTGATACCTCAACTTCTACTGGTATAAGGGTCATTGTCATTCCACAATGATGCGGTGAGGGATCAGAATGGCGTACAAATAAGGCGATTTGAGACTTATAGTGCTGTATTTGCATCCAGCATGTAGGACGTCCATTCCCATGAATAACATGTGCCTCCCGGTCGGTATTTAAGGTACTTCCTATGCGAAAGGGCTAGCGAAATGATGGGTGCCAGGCTAAGTGTCTGGCGTGCTCTGGCGAATCATACTCTGAGCACAAATGCTTCGATTCAGTCCTTGGAAGTCCGCCGACCGGACAGCGCGGGATTAGACCAAATGGCTAAAGCACTTGTCCAGATTTTTATGGAGCAATTTTCTCCAATGGTCGTCGAACAGGGGTGCACATAAAGACGAGGTAACCTTTAATGGCCGCAGACAATAATGGCTGCAGGCCGCAATCAAGTAACAAAAGCGATTGAGTAAGCTGGGAATGTATAGTAGCCATTTTTCAGGTATATCTTGTGATGATTAGGTGATAGTCAGGCAAAGACGAATGGGAAAAAGCGGAGATTATCGAGGCTGCCTAACTCTAGGTAGGGGTACTAACATGTGTATGCTGACCGGTCAGCACACAACGACGCACAGGATTTAGTACTCAGAGCTGACGTGACATATCTACCCCCGGTCAAAAAGAAACCTGTCCTGCCCAAGGGCACTGAGCACCGTCATTCAAGTCCCTACTGGCTGTGATCGTTCCATCTGAAGGGGCTTGAGCTCATACGATGACAGTTGCCTGTCCCGCCTTTCGCCACTCCATGGGCGAAGTGGCAACGTCGGAGGAAGCCAGACAGGTTTCATGGGAGGCGCCAGTCCCTGTGAATCGCTTCTGGGACAGCTTTAGATACTGTGTCGCCCGCATCTTTCTCGGGGATTTCACCGATCCCGAGCTTCGTCAATTACCTATCGTTCCGGACAGTTCTCAGGACCAAACAACAAAAGTACGGCTTCTCCTCACGCTGCTGCAGGCGAAGCTAGCCACGGCACAAGCGGCATCCTCGCCATCTCAGCCACTCTACGAGACAGATTACAAGCGCTGGTACGGGCTATGGCAAGCCGTTTGCGTGATGCAGGACGAGTTGCATCTCCCGGAGGCGGAAGACACGGTTCGATTGCTCGTCAATCCAAGACCGGACAATTCTAATGTGGTCTCCCCTCACATGCAGGCGGAGCACTTGGTGAAGATTGGGAAATATGAAGAAGCCGAAAAGGTGGAAGGGCCAGTCTTGGCCTGGATGACCTTCCATTAGTCACTGAACATGGGACCGACTGTGAAAGCATGTCGAGTAGTATCGAGATGGACCGTCGAACTCGATGCTTTATACGAATAAATTATCCATCTCACATTCCGAATTCCCAGGCTCTTGGTCGCTGGGTTTATGCAACCCTAGGCCGACCACTATGGACATCAATCGTCGTCGGTAGTCAGGACTATTGTAGTACCCGCGCCGCGATATATTACCCAGCGGTCCGTCTGCGGAGCAAAGCTTGTTGCGTCAACAGTCTACAACAACCAAGAAGAAATAAAGCTAACCAGGTCAGGATTGCAGAAGCTCGGGGAAGCTTAGAGTGACTACCGATCTGCGTTGATGGTGTTTTTGGTGGTGATGATGCTGCTGCATGAGCAACTCGCTTAGCAGGTTGGGATAGATCACGTGCCACAACCCCGACCGATGGACTGACTAAGCTTTGACTCATCCGATTGATCCGATTCACCTCGGTTCTACTTGGGTTTCGTTCAAGTCACCGGCCTACTACCGATCCCCATTCTCGTAACCTGCACTGTTACACATGGCCGACGCCACTCCCCCGGCCCGCGCCCGCATAGCCTGTAAGGCCTGCAATGCCAGACGTGTGAAATGTGATGCAGCCATCGAACGACCGTGTTGGCACTGCCGCACGCGCGGCACCCCTTGCGAGCTGATAAAATCGCGTCGAGGCAGATATGTGCGGACCACGCCCCGCCGATCTCGGAGGCTCCCCATTGATAATAGAGACACCTCCGACACCCCCGACGCCCCCTTGTCGGCTGAATCTCACCGAGAAGCTGCTATCGATCGTACCTTGCAGACAACAAGCTCCTCTGGCTCCTCCGACCTCACCTATATCATCGAGGTCAACTCTACCCCGAGGCATGGTTCCACCCACCCATCCAAAGTCCACTATCCCATTCCACCCTCGATCGCCCAGGCCCTCTCACATAGCCCCAGGGCCGAAGATCCAGTTTCTCTGCGAGATGCTCTCCTCCTCCCGCCCTCGCCTGTAGCTGAGAAGTTGATTCGTGCTTTCTTCGAGCTGATCCATCCAGCGTTTCCGGTCATTGATTTGATCGGCACGAGTTTTGCCGCCTGTACGCCCAAGGTCAGCCCTCTCCGCTCCTCTTGCAGGCTATTTTTCTTCTGGGCTTCACGGTAGGAGACGAAAGTCTTGTCCATGCTGCGGGATACAGTGACCGAGTCGTGGCCAGGAGAACACACTACCTCCGCGCAAAGGCCTTGTATAATGCAGACTACGAAACCTGCAGTGTCACCACCGTAGCAGCTCTACTACTTCTGGGATTCTATTGGTCGGGGCCCGAGGATCAAAAGGATACGTGTTACTGGATTGGATGCGCAATCCACGTAGCACAAGCGTTGGGGATGCATCGGTCGTATGTTTCTGGAGGTCTCATCCGGCGAGGCTTGGCTGACTTCCATCTAGCATATTGCAACCAGGCACACCCCGATCAGTGCGCTGCTTGCGGAAGCGTATTTGGTGGTCGGTCTATGTAATGCAGCACTGGGTAAAAGGTTCATGGGGGCGATGCTAGCGTAGCCAGGCTCGCGATCGACATACGGCTGCGGCCTTTGGTCAACCGTGTCGTATTCGAGATGAAGACTGCGACATCGAACCTCTTACGCAAGCAGATTTCGACTTTGATGACGACTATGACCACTCTTTAATTCCAAAGCAGGAAGACTACCATGTTTTGTATGTCATGGAGATGTCGAAGCTGGCTTCAGTCCGTGAGTCTCATGTCTACGAGGCACAATTCTTGCCCTGGGGCCGGTAGGCTGACTTTGCGGGACCCTAGTCGGAGACATTCTTGTGGCGGAGTTCAGTCCTAGGCGTCCGGCGCTGGAGAAACACGAAACAGACGCGTTAGCACATCGACTCGCGCAATGGGAATCATACTTGCCTGAGCGACTGCGGCGAATACCGCCTGATTATGGATTCGGTGCGTCGTTTTGGGCCAACATGCTACACTTGTCATATCAGTAAGGGCCCTCGCTAGCAGTGAGTAGACGATATTAACACCTCGCAGAAATTATTACATTCTCCTCTTTCGGCCCAAAGCAATAAATCACCTGTCTTCTGCAGATGTGGAGAGAGACACTCGTGCGTGTACGGCTGCCGACGCAATCACCCGTATTGCAGAGGATCTTTTGGCTGTGGGGACCATCCAATTTACTCAAATTCATTTGTGAGGCCCTGATATCTCCTTACCATTTACGATGTCTATTTGCTGACCCTATGTGGTGCAGTGTGCCAGCATTGTTTGGTGCCCTTTCAGTGCATACCTTTAACATCTGTCGAAAAGATCCCATTTGCCAGAGGCTGGCTGAGAACAAGTCACGCCAGTGCCTTCTCGCTCTCAGCGAACTTTCCAGATCGTGGCCAGTTCGGATCTGGTTTGCAAAGGCTTTTCTGAACCTGTTGAGACGACTGACAGGACAGGGATCGCGACAAGGCGGGTCGATTGTGAACGTCTCGTCAACCATTGCGGGTCATTCTAGTCTGGCACCATCTGCGTCCGTCGACTCGACTGAACCACACACTCTGATCAACATAAATCCTCCTACGGCATCTTGTCTACCAAGCAACGCCATTTCCTCCGAGCTGGACAACACTGAGCTTAGTCACCAGCCCGGCCATGACCACGAAGCACTCTTGGCGGATAATCAGCCTCCGAGCAATTTCTCCCAAGCGACCGAGCAGGTCCTCTATGATACCTTTTTAGCTGGCTATATCGACCAAACCTTCAATTCCGATCTATTGGTGCTTAATAGTCTAGGCTCATCGCTACCGTTCTTTCCTGGGGGTTTGCCTGAGACCGAGGAATAAAACAATTCCGATTCGAGAGGGGGGGGGGGGGGGGATCTTGCTGCCAACAACACGGCTTCGAGTCATGGCCGCCAGAAAAAAATCTCTCACATGAACTCCCTCCAGTGCTTATCCCTTCAACTGTCTCAAGCTAGCCTTTTTTGCCCATCGGTTTCAAGAACCACGAGCCTCTACCTTTCTTCCTTTAGGGTGGCCCGAATCGGCTGTTCTTCCTTAGCATTTTGCCATGCTTGAAAAACAGCCACGGCAACGGCATCATAAAAACCATGAGGAATGCGAGAAGACTGGTGGCCCATTGATACCCAAGTTTCTCATACATTTGGACCCCAAACAACGGGAAGGCAGCTGGAAGACAAATGTTAGCGACGTGCCACTTCAAGGAAACCAGTTTTACCCTCGCTTTGTTGTAATACACAGACCTGCGAACGAGCATCTTGCAAAACCATTAGCTGCAAGTGCGGAGGCAGCATATTGGGGATAAGCGTCCACCTAGATACGACACGTGAGTGTGGATTGCCTTGCAGGAACGGAGGCACGTACCAGAAATGTGAAAATGCCGATGAATGTGAGTACCATGCTTCACCAACCAGAAAGTCAACCAGTGATCATATCGTGGCCATAGCTAGAAGCAATTGCTGGGAATGCGAGTGAATACACGACTCACCCACAACCGAAGACGGCGGACCCCATGATAGGGAGTATCCAGTGAAAACTGGGGTAGATTGTCCAGCCAAAACAGAAGAGGTCAGCGGGAATCAGAATACTCCCTAGAATCGCTGGGGGCAGCCTATACTCTGGCTCACCGCTTCCGTCCTCTTGATGACGTTGTATCAGACGCTCACGGATCTTGATCCAAAGTGGGTTACTGGCCGCTCCCATCAGCATCCCCGTGATGATACCGAGGAAAGTCAGCCCGATCTGCCAGAAATTCATCCCATGCGTGGTACGGAAGACCAGCGGAAACGCTCCGAAGAACAGGTATAGAATCCCCAGGAGGATGGCCAAATATTAGTCTAGGCAAAGACACATTGGTTCGAAGAACAGCAGTTGAAATGGGCGAACAAGGGACTGTACAAGAAGCCGACCAGTCGAGCGCGGGGCTGTCCCTAACTGTGCCGTAGGCCGTTCATTTCCCAAATTCGAGTCTAGCTTTGCACGTTTATTGCGAGGTTTGACCAAAGAGTTCGTTTCTAGCGCCGAAACGATTATCGCAATGAGCAGAAGTAATGACCAAATGAGGACAACGTAGTATGTCCACCTCCAGTGCAGATAGTAGTTGATAAAGCCTCCGACCAATGGTCCCAACGAGGGCCCGATGAAAGGCGCACAGGAAACGATGACCATCGGCTTCTGAATCTCGTTTGGTGAGAATAGGTCCCTTACGGTCCCCCCTGCAACGGCCAAAAAGGTACCGCCGGCGAGACCCTGGACAAGGCGGGATACAATGATCAATGCCATATGTATGGTGACAACAGATGGGATCATCCAGACAATGAACAATGACCGGGAGATCAGGTACATGGGCCTCCGACCGTAGGCTTCGCTCAAGGGGCCTGTGAGCAGCGGACCTAGAGCAATTCCTAGGACAAAAGACGACAGTCCCAGAGTGGATATAAAGCTTGTGCTGGTCAACTCAGCGTTCATTTGCGTGTATGTTGTGGTATAGATCGAGCTGGTGCATGTCCTAGTACATTGGTCAATACGCAGCACTTGTTTTGGATAAGCAGCAAGGTCGCGTACACCCACATACTGCCTGTACAGACAATCCAGACAATGGCCCACTTGTGCCACTCCGATATAGGTTGAGGGTAGTGGTGGCCTTGTTCAGTGAAGGATGATGAGGTCACGCGAGAAGAACGATTACCATCAGTGTCGCTCCGCATGATAATGCTCCGGAATGCTGCCACCGATGCAGCCAAGCCTCGAATTTATATCCGGAATAGACCAGGTAGAAATATGATACTTGATGCCAGAATAGATATGCGGTAAGAGCCCGAGGTGACTGATGAAGAAGCCGAGGTGAGTGAACACAGGACGAAGTTAGGTCTTCCCGAACCGAACCCCACTTCGCAGCATCATCAACTTCATCATCATCAGCGTCCTCCTGATTCTGAATTTAACTACAACTCTCTCGTCTCCTCGACATCCCCTGCGACACCAGTCACTGTTACTTCTCTCTCTTACTGCCTACTCTTTACGACCGCGAGCTACCCACATTGGCATGGATGGTCTCAATCCCGACGATGAGAGAGTTGGGGCAGTGATGGATCAGCATCACTTGTCCATGCGTGGTGCCTGCGGCTTCGTTAATCGAGACGTCTGGGGTCCTCGTGAAAAGTTGATGGGCAATCCCTGGACACCAACAAATCCTTCTGGAACGTAAGCGCACCCAGTGCTACTAACCGGGCAATTCCCCGTGCTAACCGAACAAGAGTCATACTTCGTCTGGCGGAGAATAGTCTCATGCATGAAGAAGTCGTAGAGTTTATCGAGGCCAATGTGCGCACCAAGGTGACATCCCAACCTCACAAGACCAATAGCTGAGCCGACGAAGACAACAGTCAAGCCCACCGAGCAACTTACGTATAGCACCGGCCCCCGAGGGTCACGTCATCTGCGCAACGCGGCGGCTGCTTTTCTGAACGAGGAATTCCACCCCAATCACACCATCAGTGCTGAGAACCTCGTCGTCACCCCTGGCTTAGCTAGTGCAATCGACGCACTAGCTTGGGCAGTGTGCAATGAAGGAGATGGCATTCTGATCCCGCAACCGTTCTATAATGGGTTCGGCGTCGATATCCTGAATCGCAGCAATGCTCGCGTGGTTCCCGTCCCGTACACTGGGGTGGAAGGGTACTCGAGTCTTGAGGATCTCTTCTGCCCCAACGTCACCAGTAGGGCCTTGGAGGCCACATTTCGTGATGCGAAGCAGAATGGTATTAATCCTCGTGCTCTTCTGATATCACAGTGAGTTTATCGACCCCTTTTAAAACGGGGTTCAAGTTCTCATGTGATGGAATGACAGCCCGCACAATCCGTTGGGAAGGTGTTATGTATGTGCTGAAAGGCTTCTCGACCCTTTTCGTATGCCACGACAGAAATATCTAACATGAATTAACAGCCCCGTCAAACCCTACAGGCATTCGCCACCTTCTGCGGCAAACACAATCTCCACTTCATCTCCGATGAGATCTATGCGCAGTCCGTCTTCAATAACGCAGCTCTCCCAAACGCTGTACCTTTCCTTTCGACACTGACGCTGGACATCCCGCGACACATGAATCCGGCCATGGCTCACGTCTTGTACGGTGCGAGCAAAGACTTTTGCGCGAATGGCTTGCGCCTCGGCCTGGTGTGTACTCAGAACGAGGGCGTCCTAGGCGCAATGTCAAGTATCAGGTAGGTACCGAACCTGAGCTGTTCGAGCGGTGCTGATAGATTCTTGGCAGTATATTTTCATGGTCACCACATCTTCTTCAGGACGTCTGGGCAAATATGTTGGCTGACAAGGACTGGCGAACGGGCTTCATGCACAGGAAGAAACAGCTCATGGAGGAGCACTACCGCTTAACTACTGCGTTCTTTCAGCAGAACCGGATACCATACTGTGAGATGTAAGTTCGATGTGAAGCCGATTTTTTCGGGGTCGCTTTGCCGACTCAGCTGACCCATCCTGAGGAATGCCGGCCTATTTATCTGGATAGACCTCCGCCATCTGATTCGACCAACCCCGAAAGGGTTACACTCCGCGTCGCCAGCAAATAAAGCCTTAATATTAGTAGACTGCAAGGAGCGCGAAGTAAAGATCGCCGAAACCTGTGCCAAGAATGGGGTTTTGATCGCCCCCGGCCATGTGTACGTCCCAGAGGAGTTTGGCTGGTTCCGCGTCACTTTCACCGTGGGAAAGGAAGCCTTGAAAGAAGGCCTTGAAAGGTTACACATGTCGATTAGGGAGATAGAAGCAATGGGAGCCTGGTGATGCGAAGGCCAAAAGACTCAAGTGATTTTAGACTGCAGGCTACAATGGTCCAACTTCAGGACTGGATAGCTGACTAAGCACATGCATAGTGTCGAATGTGTTTCAAATGCGGTTGGATGGTCCTCACTTACCGCTTTGTTGCACTCACCGCCGATGTGCCTTTTGCACGCGGGAATAACAACACACCCTGGCCTAAGGCACCTGTATTATACAAAAGGCAATCTTTTGTTCTCCCATGCAGTCAGCTCAAGACATTGAGCTCTTACAGTATTGCATACGAGGGAGGTTGATGTGAGCTACCCGGTAGTGGAGTCAAAGTACAATACTTCACCTAGCTTACCATCTCGAACCGCTTTTGGGACACTTAGGACGCTCCGTTTGTTAACAGCTGTACTGTGCTGTACTGTGGGGATACGCCCCCAGCCCACTTAAAGCATCGATGAGCCCCACCAGCCTCCCGCCTCCCGTCTCCAGATTGCCTCAGCTTTCATTTATTCCATCTCTCGCTACTCTGTACATCTGTCTGTCACCACCATGATCTCTCGATTAATCCCACGCTGCCTGCTGCCAGACTTCATCTGGCAGGACAATCCTCGATCACTCTCCCATGGGCAAATACCACCCACCCCTCGACCGACTCACCCCCGACTGCGGCGACTGTGGGGCATCGTACATGACTACCTCCAACGGTTCTCGCAGGTGTATTGCGGCTGGGTTGGCATCCCCTTTGACAATCAAATCGCCCAGCTTCCATTTGGGTTGATCCTTAAATGGTCGGATGGCACCCGACTCGAAGAGGTTCTGGCAATGCAAGTCGCCCGAGCAGCTGGATTCCCAGTTCCACGAGTCATCAGCTATGGGGACCATCCGAATACACCGCATGCACCGGTGTCGATATTGATGACTCGTATGCCTGGTGCAGAGTTGGGCCAGGTCTATGAGAAACTAAGCAGCGAGAACAAAGAGTCCATGTTGAAAGAGCTTAAGGGTTATCTGCAGGTTATGCGCGCATGGCCAAACCCGTGGGGGAGTCGGATCTGCTCGTTGGAGGGAACCGCAATCCGAAGCGTCCGCATCCCCAATCACTTGGCCGGTCCCTTTGAATCGGAAGAAGAGTTCAATAACTATTTGATTCAACCGGCATGGGCAGGCGGATTCCCATCTGAGGAGGAATACAACCATGCTCTCAAGGTTGCCCGAGGAATAGAGAAAATGCCACACCGTATTGTTTTCAGTCACGGCGATCTGAAACATCATAATATACTAGTCAAGAATGGAAAGGTCACGGCATTTCTTGACTGGGAGTCTGCGGGCTGGTATCCTGATTACTGGGATTTTACTACAGCGCTGCGATTTGCTCGCAAGGACTTCTGGTGGTACGATTTTGTTCTGAGAATCGGGGGTGATGCGTACTTGGCAGAATTGGACTGCGATCGTGCATTGAACTCTCTAACAAGCGCTTCATATTATTGGTGATGCTGTCCGACAATCCCGTTGAGATTATCAACCTGGTGTCAGGCACATGGATGTGTGGTGTCTGGTCGGAATTCTCCAAAGAGTCTTGGCGGGCGATCATTGGGGACTAGCTTCATCATACTCTACGGATACATTGAGATCTCATGTCATCTCTCAGAGGCCAGAGACAAGTATATCACCATCAACTCTCCCTCCCGGTAAATTATAATGCATAAACGAAACTTGCGACGACGCCTAGGATCTGTTGCAAATCGGACAACATCTGTGGCTGGGCGCTATCCAAGCTTTCCAAGTGGAATGGGGGCTGTCGGATACACATATCCGTTAGTTTAAAGCACATCGTTGGTCTATGTGCAGGGTCAAGAATGCGGCTTACTGGAGGAGGTTGCTCACAGTCCGCACAGGGATGAATTGGCGAACGGCCTCGGCTGAAGATTGTCGGCAGCATCGCTCGCATGTGCATTCCCCCAGCTCTTGGCTTCAGCCTCCAATTCCTGAAGGCTCGTGCACTTCAGGACATGGGCATTCTGCAAAAGAGCCAGCACCCGGAAAAGCCAGACACGGCAGGTGGTGGCTGGCTGGTTCAACTGATGATCGTATGTCCGGATGGTTTGATCCAGGGCATCCTCCCAACCACCGGGCACATCAGCAATTCCAAAGAGTCCCACCAAAAGAAAAGATTTGAACACCCCAGAAGTAGGTCCGTGGGCGAAAATCCAGCCACTTCCTTGTTGCTTGATATGATACTTCGTGCCGCCCCTGCGGCTGTCCCGATGGAAATAAAGTCCCCAGTGAAAGTCATTCGGAATGGGGGGATGATGCCTGATGAAAAGGAGAATGTACAGCCTGTTGGGTTGAAGATCTGCGAGGGACATGATTTGAAAGAGGGTGGTGGAGCGACAAAAGAGTACGAAGTTCAGATCCCACCTGGCAAGAAGACGAGGTCGAGTGGCCATGGCGTCTATTATAGCTAAATTGCCGTACTCACCCCAACGACAGGCGCTGCCTTCTGGAGTTCTATCAATAGCTGCATCATAGTTGGTAGTAGTCCTTACATCCGGAACGCTTTGCATCAGTAAGCGCCAGAGGCAGTTTTCATGGGCGCTACATGGCGTATGTGTGGCTCAATAGAATCTGCTTACAAGAGCGATGACCAATAATTGCTGCCAAGGGTATTGGATTAAACTGCAACAGTCGAGGGCTCGCGACAGCACGCAAGCAAAAGACAGTGAGCACCAAGTAAGCTTGGGAAAGAGCTGCTAATTATGGGCCATCGATAAGCGCCTGGGGCCTGATGGGCAGCCAAATCAGCAGGTGTTGATCAGGGCCGGGAGGTGCTTGCCACTCCGGCGCTTAATCCAGCGGCAAAAGCCGATGCATCCAACAGATCCCGTTCAAGTGCTGAAGACGGCCGGACAAAGACTTCAAGACAGGAGCTGGCTCTGGTTAGCTATATGACCGCCAATTACAGTGCTTACTGCTTCTTGAATATGGAGTCGCCTGAATCCCTTTTCCTGCCTCCCTTCGCTGCTGCCGGCAATCCCGGGCTATCGCTTTTTATCCATTCTTCTCATCATGTGCGCTGCCAGGGGGGCTATTATTGCTCATTCTATCCCGAACACCCAATAGCTTCCCTTTAGATATGCTCATGATCGGACAGGTACTCGATCGAAGCCCTTTTGGTCCAAGTACCACGGCTCAGGCTTGAAGGATAGCTCAAAGGAGGCGGCTATGTGAGATGCCAAGAGCAGCTTGGATGGTATCGTTCGTGTAATCTGGGCCCAGCTAGCATCATCAATGTCAATACCATTTCGCGCGATAGCGCGGTGGTTCCAGCCGATATGCATACGAGCGCGTACATTCGATCCGTCCCACCTGTCGTATTGGAGGAGACTTTCGATCGGGATTCAGGGGTAGCTCCGGCGGCGCGAATGCCAGCCACTTTATAAGACTCTACTCATATGTCCCAAGATCTCATCAACATTTGGCTTCTGGGGTATGCGACTCATCATATTGAGGGACAATAGATATACATCAATCACAAACCCCGCCCCGACCCGCCACACAGAGTGGAATACGCTGCACCCATGCTTCATTCAATGTGTAGAGGGTGCCTAGAATTGCACGTGGGATTTATGCACGATTGACCTTGATTTGCCCGAGTATTCTCCTCTTGTCACACATACCTTACTCGCGTATACGGATTTCAGTTACCTATATGCTTCTTGTGAGCATTCACCAAGTCGATCTTACTCTTTACTTCTTGTAGGATATGCGACGTCGACTTCATCTGAAACTCGGATCGCAATATGATGGAATGTCTTGAGATCAATGTTGGCATCCTCGGGTGCGATTTTCATGAGCGTCTCCCAACCGTAAGAGAACCACTGCGACTTGACATCATGCCATGATCCGTGTGCAAGGTGGATTGACACTAGGTTGGCTTTTCAACCGAGATACACCATATTATGAAATGAGCGAGTACTCTCGAGACTGGACTTAACCTGAAATGCCAATTTTGCCAACGCCATCTGCGCCTTGGAAGACATTTCGTTCTAAAGCGCGCCGGCAGGTGGACGCAATTCAGGTGGGTCTACGCTAAGCTATGTTTGGGCATGAAGTACGACCCCGGGCTCCAAGAGTATTAGGTAAGTGAGTGCTCTCCCCTGGCCCACAGAGAACAAGGTCTATAAAACTGGCCTTCCTACTCGATCAATCTCGCTCTGTCCACTCACAAACAAAAATCACTTGATCTGGCTTGCTTGAATTGAAGTTTCACCACCTACCTACCTAGCTCGCATCATGCCCGCCACCACTGAAACCCCCGGCCATATCCCTGTCTCCGAATGGCCCAACCTCGAGGCTCTCGCTGTCGGCTACGACGAGCATCTGATGAGTGCGTGTGGAAGACTCACCGGGCAAACGCTCACTCTGGTTTTCCCCAAAGCCCCACGTGTCGCGCACCGCTTCCTCAACGATCACACCCTGGAGTGGGAGGTCCTGTCCACCAACCAGCGGGGGCACGCCGAGTACCAAGCCTTCGAAGTCCGACCCAATATATTCTTCGTCGACCTTTACAAACCGGACTATGAGGAACAGGTCACTTTGGTGCTGAATCAGACCACCGGTCAAGCCGTCGTTGCACTCTCCGGCTTTCACACTGTCAACGGGACCAAAAGGACATACACGACGTTCTCCGATGCCGCTCTCGACGGGATGGACGGCGCTCGCCCTTTTGAGCTCACGGAAGATCTGATTGGAAAGCACATCCTCTACCGCTATACCTCGCGGGACGCGTACGAGCATGTGTACTTGAACCAAGGCACATTCACGTGGCATTGCCTGACCGGAACGGAGAAAGGGCTGGCAGATACCGAGCCGTGCAAGATGCTCAAGTTGAGAGAGAAGTTGTATCTCCTGTTTTGGAGTGAGAAAGTCATGCCGGTCGAATCCGTGGTGGTGGTAGATCTGGAGCAGATGCGGTCCACGGGGCGATTCTTCTGCTGGGATCCAAAGCCGGCGAAATTGGTGCAGATGCGGTTCGGATCGTATGCGACGGTGTTGGCCGAGACGGATGCCACGCGGGTTGTGCAGTCGAAGACAAGTCACCTTTGATGGGACTGTAGTTAGCCTGGTTAGCTTTTGGAGGGAGTCATCGTCAAGATAGAAAATCTCGTGCATAGCCTTCTTACAGCGCTTACAGTGCAGTACACTTGACAGTAGACTACTATGTACGGGGTCAGTTAACTTACTGATAAGATAAGGAAGTGGGGAAAGACGGAGCATTTCCGCCCCACCACAATTACGTCGACACACTCAAATTAACTAAACTACAACCAAAAGGATTTTAAAGGCTACCCCCCCTCCCTCCCTCCAAGTTTCTCCCACTCGGTCCACTGCAGCCGTGCCACCCCAAGCGAAAATATGCCAGTTTACAAGACCTCTAATCCTCGGAAAAGGGTCAAATCACGTGGTAGGGCTTGAACTGCTCCAGTGGATACGCGAACGGGAGACTATGCTAACTCCATCGGCGGACAAAAGCTGGCTGTCGCACCTGCAAACAACGAGTGAGTGGGCCCAATGACTTCTGGAGTGCCTGAGTTGACCGGCTATCTCAGCGTCTGAAGTGCGACGAGAAACTCCCATCTTGTTCTCGCTGCGAGAAGCGAGGGCTAAGTTGTCCAGGGTACACAAGGAATGTAAAATGGTCCGACAAATATGAGCGCTGGCTGCCGGGCGAGAAAGCCCAGGACCACAAATCCAGCAGATCCCATGCAGACTGGTTCAGCCAAGAGGCCGGTAAGCTGGAGGCTGCCATCGCCGTCAGGGCCGATGGCTATACCGCTACTCAAAGTGGCAGCTCCGCCGTCGACATCACCGACTCGGGCGATCCAACTCATAGTTCGATTGCTGAGTCGTACCTACCATGCGAAGGGCGATTGGCCACATCACTTCCCTTGTCCCCGGTGCTACACGGCTATCTGGAGCCGTTGACAGACAGACTGTTGAGGTATTACTTCTCGCGGGTTTGTGGCATCCTATCCGCCTTTGACTCGCGCCAAAACCCCTTCCGATCGCTGGTCCAGGAGCTTGTGCCCACTCATACAGCGCTGTTGCACTGTGTGCTTGGTATGTCTGCCGCGCATTTGCACCAGAAAGAGAAAGGTCAGACGAGATCGCTCCGGCATCGTGCACAGGCTCTATCCGAACTGGGATCGAATATCACCCAGGTCATTCACGCCGAGAAGGCAGTGGCAGCACCCAGCTCCAGCACGACCGCCCTCCTGCTTACGGCAATCATGCTTGGGATGACCTCCGTAAGACTTGCTACCCCGGCGGTCCCGCAGTGACGCCTTCGCTAACCTGGCGCAGACATGGCACGATGTGTCTTCCCTAGACCTTGTCCATCTGCAAGGTGCCCGAGCGTTGTTCAGACAACGGAATGACCCCGCCCTCTGCGATCCGCATTGTAGCTTTCTGGTAGGGGTAATGGCTTTCTGGGAGTCACTCGCTTCGTTCCATGTGGACCAGGACGTCGATTCTGTAGATTACCTGTTCGATGTCTGTGACAGCACGACCAGCCTTGGTGCTTGCGTTCCGAACCCATTAACAGGTGTCTGCACGGTGTTGTTTATCTACATGGCTAAAGTAGGTGCTTTATCAAGACAGCTTCGTCACGTTGACCGCCTTTGGGGTATATCGAGCGCCCACGCTTCCAATGGCGATTCTTATGCCCCTCTTCTCGAAAAGGCCAGGGCGATTGAACTCCTGGCGCGGTCATACTCGCCGCCCCCTCTGCAATGCATCCTGGAGACGGCGGATGATCATACTCCGCCTGTTCATCTACTCACCATGAGCCAAGTGTACCGGCTGACCATTCTGCTGGAGCTGTATCGATTGTTCCCTAGTTTACTCGGTCCTCCCGCTTGGCAAACTGCAGCGGACTCGGAATTGTCACACTCCAGCCACCTCCTAGTTTCCCTTGCCATTGAAATCCTGACCTTACTGCTATCGCTAGGAGAAAGTACGGGCACCAAGGCAATCCAATTACTTCCCTGGATCATTGCTGGAAGCGCCCTGCAGAGTTGTGTGGCGCCACCCAGTCCCCTTACACCCTTCCCCCTCAGTTGCGGTTCCTATGCGATCATTATGTCGATCTGTCATAGCAGTACGACCGTCCACTATTGGCGAACGGTGGTGCGTGAGAGAATTCGCAGCCTGCATCGCTATGTGGGCCTGGATTCCGTAGGATATGCCACTCGGCTGGTGGAGCGGGTATGGCAGCGGGCCGACCACCGGGTCGGCACTGCCGATGCGACACGCCGTCTGGTGAGTTGGACAGAGGTGATGCTGCAAGAGAACTTGCAGACGTTTTTTGGTTAGAGATGGCAGCGTCAGCAATGTACTCCCCTGCGGAATCCATCTAACAATTTCTACTGGACCATCGACTTGACTTGATAAGATCGATCTGCCCCTCCGCCTCGTACTTTATGCTCTAAATTGGCTTGGTGCAGTGGCGGTTCCGGTTCCAAAGTGTGCTTGATTGCCCGCCGGTCTCGGAGGGGTGAAGTTACCTTAATCGGCGAATGGCCACGACGAATGACCAAGGCGGTGTGATCTCAAGTTCCACCGCTCGCGGCGTATCAAAACCTCACCTGCTGACCACCCACCCCTCACAAGTCCGCAACATGCCCGGCGTGTCCTCCAGTAAAGCCTGCAATACTTGCCGCGAGCCAAGGAAAAAGCCCCCTGATATTTCCTTCGAAAATGCATTTCTGCACAATTTGCCCCGCAGGTTAGGCCACACTCAGCTGCTGGACTCGGCTGCCAGCGCTCTTGTTCCCCTCTATTCATTCTTCTCCCGGCGAAAACCCCCTCGTAGTATGTTAATGCACTCTGGAAAAGCACTGGGCGCCCTGCACAAGAGTCTACATAACCCGGCTCAGATGTGCTCCCGAAATACCCTATACGCCATTTACCCCATCTCGATTTGTGAAATAGATGGGGCAAAAAATATCGTATTCCTTACAACTACAATATCTCTGGACATAGATTTAGCTGTTCTTTGTAAGCAAGTTATTCACCAGGCCACGCTGGCGGCAAGCTTCCGTTCACTGAGTGCAGCATTTGTTGCACCTTGTCTAAAATGTTTTAGCCACAGATGTACAATTTCTAGTTTAAAGTAACGTATCGTATAATAATAAACTAAACCCCATATTGAACTCACTGACAACACTCCCTGAATTTATAGTATTGTAGTACCGCGGCTTTGTTACCACAGCGCTTCTTTCATGCCTCGTTGACAACAAGCAGACCCCGCAAAAATGACTCTTCCGGTGGATCATGTCAATTCTGACCGCAGCGATGTCCGTTACTTTGCAGAAGGTCCGGAAGAGTGGCGGAGATGTCGGAGATTGTGTTCTTGAGGGCAGGATGTAGAAGATAATAGTTAGAACACAGATTCTTCAATGAGGAAAGTCCAGCAATGTTGCTCATGCGCAAATTCAACTCTAATTTCTATACCCTCTATATACTGTCGCCTAAATTATTGCTCGCTATCATAACAATCGGACTGTGGAATACACACAAGTTTAGGCTTGGTTTGTGTTTCTGGTTTCTCATATCCTTTCTTAAGCCTTTCACCACCACCTTTTGCTTACCTAGATACAAAAAGGACACACTTCCCCTTGAGCATCCTCTCATTCCTTTTGATATGAAGCAAAATCAAGAGATCCATGGCCGTGGAGGCACGGGCTGGCGTAGTGTTCTGGGAGGTTCAGGTCCGCAGTAAACATACCCAACACAGACTAGTACAAGATGCACGTTTGTATGGACCTGGTAAAATAGGTCAATGAAATATTATAACACGGAACCCCGCTCTGTCGCCAGGCTGTTAGCACGAAAAATAGCAGTATTACTGAGAAAAGCTGGTGGCCTTCAAGAGTCTTTTTGATTCCTCTTACTCACTAGCCTCTTCACGTTTTGATGATACTAACAGAGCTATTGGCCAGATCCTCATAGTAAAAACCATTGGCTGTCTCGCGAATGATCCAGCCGCCCGGCATGTCAGCGCGAGTCTGCAACCAGGCACCCTCGCCGAAGTCGACCCCGTTCTCCATCTGGACACTATACAGATTGGAAGGCGCCGGCTACACCCGAGAAAACCAGCAAGAATGGCAGAAGACCGCTCTTCATATTCTTATTGACGGGTTTGTCATCTCATTCATTGGGATTCAAAGAGACCACAAACAACTTTCCCAGCTGCTTCTCGGTCATGACGTACCGGTTTTAAGCATAGTTGAATTGTGGGAAGATATTGACGAATCTCGTCTTCCAGTCTGGTAGCGAGCTGCCCATTTTCTTCTCTAAGCGTCGCTTTTTCCACTCGGCCTTTTCGTACACTATGTACCTGCCATCGGGAGACCACGACGGGGACAGAACAGTGCGGTTGATGTTTGATACCATCCGTGGTGTAGATATCCTCCTTCGACGTACCCTTCATATAAGCCGATTGTACTCTTGTGGGTTTGCTTAGGGGAGCAGCTGATTGTGTACAGAATATGTCTGAGCGAGTCGGAGTTTCCATCGCGTACGGTTAGTATCATAATCGTCATCCCGCCACCTTCTCTCCGTTCTTGAAGCCACGTGGTGATATCGCTGACAAATCCGTAGGCAAACTCAAAACTCACGCCTTCCCTTACCGTACAAAAGCGCCAACTTTAGGAGTTTGACTGTACTATCTCCCATCGCGGACTCTACAACCGAAAATCCATTCTAGCCACAGTCAGATATGCCAGTTCATCAGGTTAGAGAACTTCATGGCCTCCAAAATTTGCCATCTGTCGCCACTTACTACTTCGCGAGTACTGGCAAACCATTAACGGAAGAGAAAGAAGAATATAACCGTACATCCCGCCACACTAGGGAGTTGACTGCGGAATTCAATAGAAATCAATTGAAACTTTGCTGCCTCCTTGATGATAAGCTTTTCGTCGCTGAGAGCCTGCAATACGTCACGTCAAAGATGGCAGGCACTAAAATTCAGACCGCGAGACCTATGATTGAACGTGTGGAGACAAGACAGGGATTAACATTAAGTGAAAAGACGGATATCCTTAGCGTCAGGCTCCGGGACGCCAGCTTGGGCCACCAAGCGAATATAGAATCGCTGCGAATCGTCAACAGATACCTTATAAGCCAGGCTCACAGCAATCCGATGGAATATCCCGAATCAGATACACCGGAGCTCTTCTACCGCGCCTTCCAGTGTGGGAGCTATAGCCGCCATAGTATGGAACTGGGTTTTCGTTCTTCTAATCAGCCTCTGACTCCTCCTGCGTATCATGATGGCACTCTGCTCAACAGCTTGCTGGTGAACAAAGATTCTTTGACGAATCATTGCGAGGGAAATCAGCCATCAGATCTTATTGCGTTATCTGACAGCCCATCAAGGGTGTTGAATATTCTTAAAACATGGGGCTACAGCCACAGAAGAGGAGACATGATAGCGGTAATCAATGTCTCAAAGCTTTTCGCAATGCGGGTTCTTTTTAATCGCACTACGACGCTAGCGGAAAAGCTTGGGATGAAGCTTTGGAGCGGAAGTCAGTCGACCGGTCTGCAATATGCGAACCCTAACTACTGGGTTGCCTACAGATGGATTCCAGCTGAGTGTATTGAGTGTTATGTGTCTGAAGATCTCCTTCAAGAGGCCTGTCAGAGCCATGGTATTGGTAGGTAGCCAAGCCATCATTTTCGACATGCGCTGACTTCAGTAGATGAAAGTGATTACACCGCACGGTTATCATTGAACGAGATAGTGGCACTCAAATTTCAGTTGCTTTCTATGCAACAGAACTGAAAGTGCCCACATTAATAACACATTTATTATCACAGTGCATACCTGAAGCACCCATTCTATTCTTTATATTCTGTTTAACCTGCTTAACCTGTTCTATTCTTTTATTCTAGTAATCTTATTATACTTTCTGACTGCTCTATATATAATATATAGAACTTCCTAAACTTCTATTTATTTCCGATTCTGTTGATAGCTTTTCGAGCTATATTTTATTTATAAATCTAAAAATAGTCTAATCTAGTAGCTAGTAAAAAGTCTAAAAAATTAGTTATAAAAAATTATCCAGCTAGTACTGCTATTTTTATTATTTAATCTAATTAAAAACCAAATATTAGTTTATATTTTAATACTATATAGCTTTTTTTTAGAAATAATAATATTAATAATATATTAGTAATTCTATAGTTTTTAATAATATTAAATATTTCAAATAAGTTCGGCCGATATATTAGAAAATATTTTAAAAAATAATTCTATTATTATAATTAAATTTATACTTATATTATAGAAACTTAAAATAAACTAATTATTTAAAAAATACTTTTAATTTTTTAAATTAAATAATTTTAATAAAAAAAGATATTTATAATCTAAAAGCTTGTTAATATTGTTATTATTTATAAAATTATTATAAAAAAATAAAATTAAGTTTAGAATAAATATATAAAAATTATTTAAATTATTATTTTTATAATAAATATTCTTATATATATTTCAAAATCTATTTTTATTATTACAAATAATATAACTGCTTTAGTAAGAATAATTATATTAATTAATTTTAAATTTTTTATTTTTATTTTTTTTTAAATATTTATTTAATTTTAATAAATTTAAAAGCAACTATTTTTATTTCTATTATTTTATTAATTAAATCTAAAAAAAATAAAAATTTATATTAATTAATATATTATATCTGTTTTCTATAAGATTTATATTATTAGCTGATTTAAAAAAAATCTTATATCTAGAGCGGATTTTGGTTAAAAAACAGATTAAAAACTGAGCTTCTAAAATCTGTATTTAGGCTTAAAGATAGAGTGGCTTAACCTGACTGTTATATCTTAATCTTAATCTGACCATAACCGTATAACCAGATTAAGATATAAAAATTTTTTAACTGTATAGTTAAAATTAGATTAAGATATAACTACTATTTTAATTATTTATATCTATAGATTAGAAATAGATATAGCAGATAGATTATTAACTGTAGATTAATTAATAATATATATATTATTTTTATATATATTATATATAAAATATAATAACCTTTTAATTATAATATAGTAATATTTTTTAGATTTAGCTAATTTATTTTATTTATTCTATCTGTTTTTTTTAAAATATACTACATTTTGTAAAAGGCTTTTATAGAATCTAATATAATATAAACAATATTTAATATTTGATTAATAAACTAATAATTTTATATTATTTTTTATACTGTTTAGAATAGTAATTATATTAATATAAAAATTATAAAAACCGGGTCTTTATTTTTATCTAAATATATAACATTTAAAGACTCCGATAGGCCCAGTTTTTCTAATTTTAATAATAATCTATTTTTAGAATTATTTTTAAGATTATCTATATTTTTATTCTTACTAATATAAAAGATAATAATTATTTTATTTTTTTTTATTTTTTTAGTATAAAAATAATTAAATGTAAATTAAAATTATTAAGAATATTCTTATACTTCTTATTAATTATAAAATAATTAGTATATATCTAAAATATAACTACTTTAATTATATTAGAATAAAAATGGTTTTAGTAATAATAATAAATATTTTAAAAATTATTAAATAAATATTTAATACTAATACTATTAGTTATAATTAAAAAAAAATCTTTAGCTATTTAATAAAAAATAGAAAACTAATTTTAGTAGAATTTTTAATAAATAAAAATATTAGTATATTTTATAATATTTAGAATAATATTAATATAAGCTAAAATATTTTAATAAGTTATATATCTTTAATATCTAAATATATTTTTAGTTTTTTAAATATTTTTCTGCGGGTAAGAATCTTTGGTATTTAAAAATATTATAAAAAGCTTTATTTAAGTCTAATAAAAATCTAGAAATTATTAACAGTATGTTAATAGCCGGATTCTAACTATAATAGAAATAGAATATTTTTTAAAAATGGTTTAATATTTTTTATATTAGTTAATATTATTATTTAATTATATATTCTTCTTAAACTTTTTAAATTTTAATATTAGATTTAAAATAATTATAATTATATAGATATAGTCTTTTGTCTAATAGATATAATAATAATATTTTCGGAGTTTTTAATATATATTCTATAGACTTTTAAGAATTTTTTTTTTAAAATATCTATTTTTATACCAGTATCAAGGTGCAGGCTGGCGTCTGGTTCTTAGTAGGACTGGGTGGTAGGAATAACAGTGCTGGCTGGACGATTCTCTATAACTAATTCTCTAGATTTTTTACTAGCTATTAAATTAGGCTATTCTTAGATTTATAAATAAAATATAGCTCAAAGAATTATAAACAGAATTAGAAATAAATAAAAAATTAAAAACTTCTGTATATTATATATAAAGCAGTTAAAAAGAATAATAAAATTACTAAAATAAAAAAATAAAATAAATATTTTAGATTTATATTATAATAATATAGTTTTTTTTAAACTAAGCTTTGTTAAGATATAGATTACAGCTTATTAGAATAATAATAATAAAAGTTTTTAATAATCTAATAAATATTCTTTAGATATATTTATTAATTTAGCTGTTAGATCTGGATATTTAATCTATTTTATAATATATATTAGTTAAAAGCAGCTATAATTTTTATAATTTTATATAAAATTTAGAATATTTTTAATTTTTTATTCTTTTAATTTATTAACCTCTATATACAGTAATAGAAATTAATATTAGTTTAAAATTAATTCTTTACTGGCGGAAATAAGCAGGCTAATATTAAATATAAAATATATTTTTATACTAAAAAATAAAATTAGTTAATAAATATATAAACTAATAATTTTTTTAATTTTATATAATCTTAAGATATTTTAGTTAAACTTTTTATTAAATCTTAATATCTTAATATTATAGATATTTAGTTATACTTTTTGATTTTTTAGAATTTTTTTATAGGTTTATATTATTAGTTTATTTATTTTATATATTAAGCTTAAACAACGGATATTTCTATTTTAATAAATTTAATAATAATTTATATTTTTATAGTAAACTAATCTGCATCTTTAACAGCTGGACTATTTAGAATAATAATAAATTTAAAATCTATATAAAAATAAAATTTATAGTTTATAAAAAATAGAATAGTTTTAATAATATTGGAATAGATTATATTTAGTATAAATTTAATTAAAAAAAGCTACTAGCTTTAGTTATCTTATAAATAATTTATATAAATATAAAAATATTATTTAAATATTATATTAATTTTTTTAATTTAGCTGTTAGTCTCTAAATAATATACTATAAAAAATTTACTAGTAATATTAAATTATTAAATTAAATATTTTTAAAACTTAAAGATAAATTAGGATTTTTTATCTAAAAAAATAAATTATAATAATTTATATAGTTTTTATATATATTAAATATATATTATCGCGACGGCAGCAGTATTAGCAGTTAAATTATAAAAAATTAAATATTTTATTCTTATTAAATAGTTAATAATTATTAGAATAATATTATAATTCTGGCTCTTAAATAAATATATAATAAAATTTATAAATATATTCTATTATACTTGTATAAATACAGGCAGAGGCTTTAGAATTTCTTATTTAATTTTTTAAAATAGTATTATTCTTTAATAGATATAGCAGTTTTTTATTTATTATTTTATATATTAGTAGATATTAGACTAGTAGTATTCTTAGACTAGTAGTTTATAAATATAGATTTTTTTAAAATATTTAAAAACAGATTTATTATAGACTAATCTAATCAGCTTAATTTTTATTTATTTATTATTAAATATTTATAATTAATTCTTATAAAATAAAAAGCTTTTTCTTTTTTTATATAATATAAATAATATATCTAAATAGTGGTTTTTATTAGTAGCTAGAACTTTTAATATTTTTCTAATCTATTTATTTTTTTTATATACTATATAAAGAGGTTTTTATAAATTAAATAAAAATTATAAATCTTATTTATTCTTAAAGATAATATTTCTTTAAGTATATATAATAAATGCTAACTTTACTTTTAGTATATTTTTTATATTTTTTTTAGAATTGTTTTTTTTATCCTTCTCGCTCTCTGGCGGGGTCAGAAGTAATATTAATAAATAAATAGAATTAATATTTTCTTATTTTAAAACTATTTAGTTTTAGTATAATAAATATTTATTCTTTTTCTTCAGAAGATTATCTGATTTTCTGATTAGACTATTAGATTTAATTCTATATTTTTCAGATTTGTAGATAATTTTAAAATTAAAATATAATAAAAACTTAGATTATTAAGTTTATTAATAGTTTAGTAACTTAATAAATATAAAATACTTTAGATTATAATAGTCGATAATAACTTAAATTAAAAATAATATTTTTTTTAACTTAGAATACTATTTTTTAAAATAATAAATAATAGCAAATAATTTTTTATTATAAATCTTATAGTTATATTCGGCGGGAATATATTTCTTAGAGAAATATATAATAGAATATAATATTTTATTATTATTATACTAAGACAGAACTTTTTCTAATATATAATTAAAGATATCGGTTTTTAGAATAATATTATAGATCTAATTAAATAATTATAAAATAAATACTTTAATAAAAATATTTTTAAATATACTAAATATTATTTAATAATCTAAAAATTAGATAAACAAAACATCTTTTTTTATTAGATATATAACTAAAGCAGTTAATTTAAAGAAATTATAAATAAATTAATAATAAAAATTACTAAAATCTAAAAAGACTTATATATTAGTTATATAAATTAAAATAAACTATTTAGTTATAGTTTTAATCTTCTTCAGATTTATATAAAACTTATTATAGTCTATAATCAGATCCAGAAACTTAGTTTCGGATATAATAAACTTATACTTAAATAATTTAGTATAAAATCTTATTTTTTTTAACTTTTATAAAATATAATAGATATATTTAGAATATTTCTCGCAGATACAGCTATAAATTAAAATATTATTTTAATAAATAGTATAAAATATATTAAAATAGTCTCTTAAAATATTATTAATATATTACTAAAATATAATAGAGGCTCCGATCAGTCTAAATAATATTATAAATATTTTATAAAATTTTAGGCGGGTTTAGAATATAATAAAATATTCTTACTTTTTCTTAATCCTAATATTATTAAAAGTACTGATAATATTGATTTTTATAAAATATTTTATTTTTTTCAGATTATTTAGAGTCTTTTTAATAAGCAGAAGCAGATAATAATTTTTTATAGAAATAGTATTTAAAGTATAATAATTAATATAAAATCTTAGATTTTTTCTTAGCTTTTTTATAAATAGTACTAGAAAGGTGATTGGTAATAAGTTTAAATAAATAAAGCTTTTTTTTAGATTTTTTAAAAACTATTCTTTTAGAGCTTATAATTTATTTTAGAATATTTTATATAAGAAACCAAACAGCAGGGATTTTCTGTTTTTAGAATAATAATATAATTATAATCTTAATATAAAAGTAGCTTCTCAGTTTTTTTAAAAAAAAAATATTTTTTAAATTTTTTAAATTTTTTAAGCAAGATTTATTTTTCTAATTTAACTAAGATTTATAATATTTTATTAATCTGATTTATTATTATTATAAATATTAGATAGTGGTAGCATATATAAATAGTATATATAACTAATAAAATAAAATAAATATTTCTTTTTATTAGATCTTCTAAAGATATAATATTCTTAGAATAGGCTTTTATTAATATATTATATAATACTCTAATTTTCTGAAGTCTTGATAAAGTATTATAATAATTCTAACAGTACTGGCTGATAAACTAAATTATATATATAAATCAACTAGTATAAAGATTATAAATCTTTAGCTATAGAAAACTAAAAATAATTAAATAATAGATAAAATAGATAATTAAAAAGAATATATCTTTTTTAATATAGTTATAGATTTTTAGAATTATTTAGATATAATAAATAATATAATCTAATTTTTTCTATCAGCTGTTGAATCCTATAATTATTTTATAAACTTTTAAAGAATATAATAATAACTAATAAGTCTTAGTCCAGCTTTAGTTTATTACTTTTAAGATATAGTATCTGGTATTAATTATAATATAGATTAGAATCTTTATATTTCTAATATTAAAAATAATAGAAATAATTATTAAGTTAGTTTTTCGTAGTTTTTTCTTAATAAGAATTTTTTTAAGTATGGTTTTTAAGATAGTATATAATTATATAAAAAAATTAGTCTATCAGCAGCTTAAAATAAACTTATTTTTTTTAGTTATTTATTTAAATTAAATAAATTGTAAGGATGAAAGAGGTCAGTTAGGTATAGAACAATAGCAGTCTCTGATTTTAAAACTAGTTCTTACTATCCTATAATATAGCAAGATTCTAAAGATTTAAGTACTAGAATAGCTAGAAGTTATTAATATTATAATTTCTTTCTAATAAAAATATATTAGTAATCTTCTAAAAATACTATAAGCTTTTAAAAATTTATCTATAATAATTAATCTTTTTCTTATATACGACTGTTTTTAGCAGCAACTAGTAATAAAATCTAATATTCTAATAAAAATTAATATTAATCTTAATAATATTATAATATATAAAATTTTTAAGACCCCGGATATAATTTTTTAACTTAATTTTATAATTATTGGAGCAGATATTATATATTTTCTAATAATATTTAATTTTTTTTTATAACTGCTGTTTCTAATTATATAAATATCTTAAAAAATTATTATTTTAGTAGTATTAGTAAACAGATCTATAATTTAATACTATTTTGTTTTAAAAATATAATATTATATTACGCAGAATATTAATATTACAGTTATATTTTTATTATAAAAGCTAGTTTTAATAAGATTAATAATTATAATTTAATACTATTTTGCTTTAAAAATATAATATTTTTTTATACAGAATATTAATATTATAGTTATACTTTAACTTTTTCTTTTTTATATCTGTTTTATTTTCTTAACTTTTTTGTATTTATAGTTGTTTGTTGTTTGTTTATTAATTTTTTAACAAATTCTTATAAAAAATATTCTAATTAAATAAATATTTTTTATAATATCTTTTTTTTAGTATTTTAGTACTGTTAAAATATTACTATAATTTTTAATACTACTAAAATACTAATAAATAACTGCAGTTTTTATTATATATTAAAATATCTATTTAGTTAATTTTTTGTTTTTTTACCGAGTATTTTTTTTTAAATATATTTCTGTCTGAAGTATCTTTAAATAAATATAAAAAATTATAATTAGACTTCAGAAAAATAGTTTATATTTAGTTATATTTTTAATATAGTATTTTTAATTAAATACCAGCAGTATACTGTCTGTAAATTCAATTATATATTTATAAATACTCTAAATTTAAATTTTTTTTTTTTTTTAATTTTAGCTGAGTATTGACTAGACTGCTATAAATATACTAAAAAATATTATAAAATTAATATTAATTTTATATTAGATTACCGATTTCTAAAATAAAAAATTAGAAGTAGATTAGAATCTTTTTTTATAGTAAATATTTAGCTTTTTTATATATTTACTAATCTTATAGTTTGCAGATATTAAATAAGTTTATAAAATAGAATACTATATTATAACTTTTATAAAAAAAACTATAATTATAAATACTATTATTAGAATACTAAAAGTTTATTAATAAATTAATAAAAATATACTATTAATTATTATATTTTTATTATAAAATATTATATTCTAGTAGCTTACTAGAATTATAATCCCGATTATTTTTATTTTTTATCCGGTAACACCGGTTATTTATTATAGCAGATAACTATTTTGTTGTTTATAGATAGAATAGTAGAAGTAGTTATAGAAATATATAATAATAAAAATAATAATAAAAAATAAAAAGTCTAAAATATCTAAAAGTCTTTTCTGGTTAAGACTTTTTATAATTTATAGTATTATCTATATTTTATAATAGTTTTTTTTACAGAAATATCTTTTTTCGGCTGTTTCATAGTATTTTTATTTTGATATTTTAATATCTATTAAATATATATAATCTAGATTTAATATAGTTATTTTTATAGCTTCTATATATAGATATAAACAAAACAACTATATAATATATAATTTTTGTATAATCTTTATTATATATATTATATTAATTAGGCTATAATTTAGCTGCTGTTTTTGCTATATATTAATCTTTTTTTTCTACTTTAATAAATACAGGGCTTATTTCTTAAATTATAAATTCTTTACTAAATATTTACTAGATTTTCTACTGATAGCTATTAATTATATTTAAAAAACTATTTCTACTATTTTACTAGATAAAATTAATTCTTTTAGTAAAATTCTATATAGTAAATCCGCGTATATTTTCAGATACTAAAACTGGGATATTAGAAATATTTTTTGAATATTTAGATAAAAAAAAGCTTTTAAATTTTTAAACTACAGAAATTAAATTAATATTCTCTAGATTAGGCGAGTAATAGCTTGCTAAAAATAATAGCTATTTATTATCTAATATAAATATAGATAGTTATAAATTCTAGATTAGAATATATACTAAGCTTTTTTATTTTTTTTGTCTCGGCAATCTTATTTATTATAAAATAAACAAATAGAACTACAAAATAGTAAGATTTATAAAATAGAATTATTTATAAGTTTAATAGTCTACTTATTAGAATATATTTAGATACTAGTTTAATTTTTAGTATCTAAAAATCTATTTTACAGCTGTAACTAATTATTAAAGTTAAAAACAGCTACTATATTCTGCCTGCAGCGACACGTCCGAATAATAAATAAAATAATAAGTTTAGTATAATAGATTTAAAAAATAGAATTTTTTATTAGTTAAACAGTCTCTTAAGTAAAATATAATTAAATACTATTTAAATTTTTAGTATTTAGAGATCTGTTCTGCAGCTGTAACTAATTATTAAAATTAAAAATAATTATTATATTCTGCCTGCAGTAATATACCCGAACAGCAGATAAAATAATAAGTTTAATATAATAGATTTAAAAAGCAGAATTATTTATAATTTAAACAGTCTTTTAAATAGAATATAATTAAATATTATTTAAATTTTTAGTATTTAGAGATCTGTTCTGCAGCTGTAA